ACACAGATTTCCCCCTCCCCCCGCAACACACAGAGGATTACATCTCCAGCAATGTTCAATGTGTTCGAATAATTTTTAACTGGTCAAATAAAGTCTATCTCTTATTCTCAGTTTGTTTTTTTCTTGAGACAGTGTTCCTCTGTGTTGCCCAGGCTGGCCTTAAACTCCTGGACTCACGTGATCCTCCCACCTCAGCCTCTCAAGTAGCTGGGACTACAGACTTGTGCCACCACACCCGGCTCCTTGTCTCTGTCTGTATTAGAATTCCCTGGCTGCATGTAACAACAACAACAAAAAAATTAAAGCAAAGAGGAAAAACTTATTGGAAAAATACTGGGATATTTTATGTAACTAAGCAAAGGAAATAAATTATGGTAGAAGCAAATAATGGAATTTTATGTTGCTGTTTAGAAACTTGAGGTAGCAGTATACCTGCTTATATGGCAAGATACTCAAGATATATTGTGAAGTTATGGAACACTGCTTATATCATGACCCCACTGGGTTAAGAAATGGTTATAAATGAATACACAGATGTTGGAAGGACATTTAATAGTGATTCCTTCTAGGGAGTAAGGTCAGCAGGAGGGGAGGGGTGTCAGTGGGTTTTTCTTTCCGGTTTATTCTCTTCTTGAAAACCATTTGTCTACCGTGAGCACTGCGACAGCCATAGAGGTGTGCCACTCAGACCTCCCCTAAGAAAACACTCTGTAAAATGGTGCAGCTGCTGTGGAAAACAGTACAGATGTTTCTTGAAAAATTAAAAACAGAACTACCATATGGTCCTGAAATCCCATTTCTGGGTATTCATCCCAAAGAATTGAAATCAGGATCTCAAATAGATACGCACTTTCATGTTCAGGGTAGCACTATTCTTAGCCAAGATGTAGAAACAAACTAAAGTCTGTTGACAGATGAATGGATTTAAAAAAAGTGGTATATACCTACAATGGAATAGTATTCAGCTTTACAAAGGAAACCCTGCAATATGCAGCAACATGATGAGCCTTGAGGACATTATGCTAAGTGAAATATGCCAGGCACAGGGCAAATGCTGCATGATTCCACTTACATAAGTATTTAAAACGGCCAAACACATAGATGCAGAGAGTAAAATGGTGGTTGCCAGGGGCCAGGGGTAGTGGGAAATGGGGAGTTGCTAATCAACAGATATAAAATTTAGTTATGCAAGATGAGTAAGTTCTACAGATACGATATTGTGGCTATAGAATACTATATTGGACACTTAATAATCTGTTTAGTGTTCTTGCCACAATAAAAAAGTTAATACGTATAATTAAAATTACTTTTAAAAATCATGTCAAAAAAAGAAAAAAAGCAAGCAAGCCACTGTGAGAAATGTAGTTGCCTGGCTGGCCTCCAGCTGCCGCTTTTAGATCTAACTCAGTTTTCACATTTTGGCACTTTCTTTCTGGTTTACTCCCAGCCAATTACTGCACACAACAGTTACTAGGTCTCAGGTAAGTAATACCCAGCCATTGATTTAGGAAATGCATTTTTTTTTCCTATTTTGATGAGGAAAAGGACCAGTAGTTTGCATCCAAGTGGAACAGACAATATTTAGTTTTGCCCCAGGGATGTCAACTCTTGCACCTTTGATGATAAAATGTGAACTATGGGCCACCTGGACATTCCACGGAACACATTAATAATCCATTCCATCAATGGCATCATGTTAATTGAGCAAGATGAACGTAAGGTAGCTAGCACACTGGAGGCCTTGCCGAGTTATGTGTTCCGGAGGGTCGGAGATAAACTCTACAGAGATTTGGAGATCTACCATCCCTGTAAAGTTCTTAGACCAGTGGTCAGGGGCACGCTGAAATGCCCCCTACAAAGTGAAAAGACAAATTGCTACATTTTGCACCACATGCTACAAGGACGTGAGCACAGTACTTCTGGTTCTCTCTAGATTGTGGACGCAACACATCCCACCTAGAAACACTACTCCAACCCATATACGGAATGACATGAAAAACTGCTAGGTTTGAGTAGGGGCCTGGAGTAGGGAAGGGCTCTAAGATTCAGGCTGTGATGCAAGTAGCCCTGCAAATTCGGTCATACAATCTACCAAACATCACAGTATTGAAGGTGTCAGTGGCAGTAAAAGATGCTACATAACAGTCTGTGTCAGAGGCTCATGGAACTGTGGAGTTCCCCCAATGTGTTTAGTGGATTTGTGCAGTGATAAAGCATGGAATGAGGTTGTCGTGGAGGTGTGCCACTCCCGTCTCTTCAAGAAAACTGGTTGCAAGTATCTGGCTGCCACTCCTCCTGAGCTGTCGCCTCTTTCACATGGCAGGTGCACTTTCTTCCCAGGGTGCTCCTTGTGTACTAGTCAGGGCATTTCTGCCCAATCCGGGACTACTCCAATGGGTACCCGCTCCGAGTGTCCTCATTAGGCTGGCAGAGCCTCAGAGTGGCTGAGGTCTGAGACTATTGTTTTATCACAGGTGTCTGATGTACACCGCTCTCTGAACGCCTTCCCTGCCTACTGCTCCCTCCTCCGTGCTCCCCGCCCCCCCCCCAGGCATTTCCCTCAATACATCTCTAGCACGTGTAACTCTGTCCGGTGTCTGTTTTTTGGAAATCCAAGGTGACACTAGCATGCATGCTTTAACATAAACTTGTAAAAATGACAATGATCAAATGGGAAAGATTTTTGAAACGATCCACCTATCTCAACTGTACTCAACTTTCAAGAATGCAAATTTCATTGCCTTCATCTGTACCACATTAAGTTTGAAACGTCATGAAACATCAATAGGTGAGTACTGTTGTGGCTCATAGAAAGCCTGTTTCATGAAGCCTGGCACTTTAAGGGATTCTTCCTGTGCAATTGGTAGCTGACTACAGGGGAACTACAAAAAACGTAGCAAAGGCCGTTTGTAGTAATGAAGTCATCGTTCAGTGAGCTTTTAAGTTTTAAGAACTTTGAAGGATTCAGTGCCTTAGTACTTCTTGGTCATAGAAGTCCTACTTCAATGTGAAAGGTGACATTCTGTTCAGAATTCTAGTTAAGCAAACTTGACAATAACAACTCTAGCTTCTACCTTCCTTGACCACCAAAGCATCATTCTTGGTTCACTGGACAGAATTTCAATATAACCATTTTCCTACCACAGCAAATGAACTCTGCTGTTACCAAAGCCTCTATTTAGAGAAGTATTAAATCACAGATCATTGCCTAAGGTACATTCAATCCAGCTATTCCTCCAGAGCCTGCTTTGTAAAGTAGGCATAATTATTTCTTTGAAAAAATACTCCTCTATGGCTTCAAGAGGGTGACTTGTCCAAAGGCCACGTAACCATTAAGTAATGAAATTAAAATCTGTATTCGTATCTGACTACAAAGCCCATTTTTTTTGTCAGAAGTACCAGGGCTGTCTCTCTATACAATCAGGAGCTGCACAGAGACACATTCTGGTCAACACAGACTTGCACATACGATAGCTGTCCCGTAAGATCATAATGAAGTTGAAAAATTCCTGTCACTGAGCAGCATTGTAGCCATCACAATGTTGCAGCGCAACACATTACCTGTGTCTGTGGTGATACTGCTGCAAAGAAACCAAGTTTACTAGTCACATGAAAGTACAGCACATACAATTTTGTATAGTACGTAATACTTGATAATAAACAACTATTTACTGGTTTATGTATTAATTATACTACACATTGTTTAGAATGTACTCTAATTGTAAAAATGTTCATTGTAAAACAGCCTCAGGCAGGTCCTTCAGGAGGTAGTCCAGAAGGCATTATTGTCATAGTAAATGACAGCTCCATGCCCATTATTGTCCCCGAAGACCTTCCAGTGGGACAAAATGTGGCGATGGGAGACAGTGATATTGATGATCCTAACCCTGTGTGGGCCTAGGCTAATGGCTGTGTTTGTGCCTTAGTTTTTAACAAAGTTTAAAGGGTAAAAAACAGAAAAATTTTAAAAATAGAAAAGCTTACAAAGTATATAAAGAAAATATTTTTGTACAGCTATATAATGTGTGTTAAACTAAAAGTTATTATAAAGACTCAAAAAATTTAAGAAATGAAAACACTTGTAAAGTAAAAAGGTTATAGTAAAAGCTAGGGTTAAAAACTGAAGAAAATTATTTTTGCAAATTTAGTGTACCCTAAATGTAGTGTCTATAAAGTCTACAGGAGTGCACAGTAATGCCCTAGGCCTTCACATTCACTCACCACTGACCCACCCAGAGCAAATTCCAGTCCTGCAAGCTCCATTCATGGTAAGTTCCCTATACTGGTGTACCATTGTTTTAATCTTTTATATTGTGTTTTTACTGTATCTCTTCTATATAAATACTATTGTGTTACCACTGCCTACAGTATGTAGTATAGTAATATGCTGTACAGGTTTGTAGCCTAGCAGCAATAGGCTATCCCATATAGCCTACGCGTGGTAGGTTATACCATCTAGGTTTGTGTAAGTACACTTGACACATTTCTCAGAACATATCCCTGTCATTAAGCAACACATGACTGCATTATGTTTCAGACCCCCTATGGCTTAAATATACTAGATCAGACATCGTCTCCAGTTACAAGTAGATTAAAATGTAGTGGACAAGGCTATGACAAATCTGTGCCAGAGCCCTGTCAAGGTGAAAATTTTTTAAAAAGTCTGCATTTCTTCAGAGATTAAAAAATACAGCAATAATTATTCAACATGGACAAAGTATGATGAAAGAGAGAAAAATCCATCTAATATATATTTTAGTACCTGCCTACATGCCAAAAGGAGTAATTAATATTTCAGAAGATATTAATTAGTCTGGTAAGAACCAAAAGGACTCTTACGAGTTTCATCTAGTAAAAGGCAAAGAGTAGAAATGAGAATGACACACTGGAGCTAGACATCAAGTCTATAGATATCTGGATCAAAGTGAATATACACAAAATGGAGTGTGTAGAAACAGCCAAAAGAACAAGTCACACTCCATGCTATTTTATTTCCAGTTCATGGTGTTTTTATTTTAGAAAACACATTGAATCAAACAGGTTAGAGCTACTGCTTCTTTGTTCTGCGCATTTTTATTCTCCACTCGAAAAAGCAGTGTCGATTCTGTCTTCGTCCATTCTGTTAATGAGGTAAGCAAAGATCACTGGTTACTTCAAAAGAACCTGTGGGGAGAAACACACAGAACTCACTTAAATCACGCATTTAACAGCTCTCTACAACCAGGAAAGAAAATGAAGACAGAAAATCAACTAATATGACAATAAAATAGTACAAACTGGGTAGACTACCGAAAACCACACCAGTTTTTGGTTACTATCATTCTTTGTCGTGGTGATCTCACCTAACAAAGGTGTACTCTAATTCTGACTTGGAAGATATTTAATGTTCTTACCACTAAAAATTTTAAAGCTAAACCTATTACTGTTTTACAAGTGCTATCTTCCCAAATTTATTTGACGCTTTTTCAGGAGAAACTATTCTAACTCCTTGGAATTTGTTCTCTCTAATGAGAGAAGAGTCATATCAGTTCCATTTATAGGTCCGTATATTGTCTACTGCATTATGATGCTGATACCACTATAGCCTATACTTTTTTCTTTTTTTGCCCACAATATTCCTGATTATCTTTTTTTATTCCCAAGTTTTGTGACTTTTTTCTTCTTCTTTTTTTTTTTTTTCAAGAGACAGGGAGGGGTCTTCCTGTGTCACCCAGGTTGGACTGCAGTGGTGTGATCACAGCTCACTGCAACCTCCAACTCCTAGGCTCAAGTGATCCTCCTACCTCCGCCTCCCAAGTAGCTGGGACTACAGGCATGTGCCACCACACCCAGCCTCTATGACTTATTTTAGACAGATATCTAGTAAGTGTATTTTCCCAGGGATTAATTTAAACTGCAAAAATCAACCTGATTTCAGACACGATAAATAAATGTACATGAAAAATACGTAAATAATTCTGCATACAAATCATCTAAAATGACCGCCTACAGCTTGTTTTAATAACCTTTATTTGAATAAACCCCCATTCTATATTAGATAACCACAAGCACAAATACCGATAACTTTCTTTGTGACACCACGGGCTCTCACTGCACAACATGTGTTTAGTAACTACGATTTTGAAGGATGCATGGAATACAATGCACAGAACACTGAAATGACATTTAGGAGACCTGGACACTAGTCATGGCTCTGTAATCTTGGGCAAGTAAGTCATCAGCTTCTCTTGATTTTAGCTTCCTTATCTACAAATTCAAGATTATACTGGATGACTAAACTTTCCAGTCCTTGGAGGCTGGTAGCTCAAGCTATTATAGATATTAACAGGAGCCAGGACTCTTTCTTTAGTAATGTCTTCTCTGGATATCCTGTTTCTACCACCTATAAAGCTTGAAAACAATTATTTGTGTGTTCTAGTATGTATGTCTCTAAAATACTGACTGCTTTGCTCATTTTCTGATTTCACTAGAGACTTAAAAAATCAGTCTAACTAAGATTGAGAATCATATGCCTTTCATTTCTGTCCAAGTGATCTTAAACAGCTTGGATGCGAGAAACAAAAGATACTACAGTTAAAATAAACAACTGAGTTGAGTGAGTAAACAGGTCCTCATCTTATTATAAATTTAAGAATTGAAATTTACATTCTTTAACTATAAGGGACTTTACAATATCATGTAATTTCTTCTATTCAGCCTAGTCAAATGCTAATACATAAAGAATCACAATGTTGGTAGCCTGATTCAGACACCTAAAGGCAATGTAGATCCCAGGCAGATGCAGACATAGAAAATGCAAATGAAAGGCGCCGGGTGGGGGTGGGGATAGGGAGGGCAGTGAAAGGAAGACAGAGAGACAGGTAGACACAGCCATACTCTTAAGAAAAACAGGCAGGTGGAGATGAAATTAGCAACATTGGGTAAGTAAAATTCAGAAGGACTGAATGAAAGAAAGAAGCATATGACAGTAAGGTAAGAGAGAGGTACAAAGACAGGGAAAGAAAGGAAGAGGGGAAAAAAGCAGAAACAGATAAGCAAAAGAGAACTGTGAATGGGCAGAGTGGTACTGATGGGCATGCACAGTGACTAGGAAATCGGACTAGATCAAAAAGACATAGCCAGTTGGAACAAAAGATCTTTTTCTCCCCATAATTTTGTTCAAATTACATTCTTTTATTGTTATCCCTCTAGGGCTTCAATTAAAAAGGAGACGACCTTTTATTTTTATAAAATGGTTAATACATATTTTATTTCTCTTGCATATTTTTTAAAAATCTGATTTATTTGTCAGCATAATTTCTGCCATCATTAAAGGTCATATATACCAACGTACTGGAGGGAAAACCCTAATTTTACATACTGTTAGTTATTTTTCAAAATAAAGAATGACAGTATGTATACAAGTTAGGTCAAATTCAACCTAAGGTGAGGACCTGTAGGCATTTATGATTACATATCACAATGCATAATCACATAACTTATATAACACTGGTATCAGATTAAAAACACACCCTTAGTTGAAAGTGACTTACCATTCAGAGTTAAAATCCAGGAATCTTAGTACTGCTTCCATTTTTTGCCCCCCCTTGCTTCACTTGGTATGCCATGCTCTCTCTCCTCCTATGCGGATTTTAAGTCAGCAGCCATCAATCTGAAGAATTCCTTCCTCTACTGCCACCTACCAGTTTAATTCTCTGCTGCAGCAGAAGGGCATATAGAAAAAGTTCTTGCTTAGTATTCAGATTAAACAGAAAAAATTCCTTTAATATTTCATATTTTCACATGTGCAACTTTCTCATGTCTCCCCCAGACCTTCCCTCCAAAAATCAGAAACAAAAATCCCAATCACAGAAAATCAAACAATGTATGATTCATGCTAAGCTGGGAAAATTATAAAAGAAAAAGAAAAAAGAAAGAAAGTGGAAAGATTTAGACACTCAGCAGTTGCCATCTCAACGAACCATTTTCTTTTGTTAGAGTTTCCTTCTTCACCTACCCCTACAATCTACGAATAAATTACATAACTTAAAAATTTTAACTAGGTAGTCTACAACTCCTACAAATTTTAAGTTCAGAGACTACCCAAGGAACTGTGGAAGATGCAGCAATATAAAAGAGTTTTTTTAAGTAATTCTAGAAACTAAGGGTGTTAGGTGCTTTACCTGCTTGAGTTTTCAATGTTCTGGACTGCTTATTGCCCAATGTCTCTTGTATACATTAAAACACGAACACATACGCCACCTACATTTAAAATAGGGTAGCATTTGTATGCCCATATAAGCACTGGGTATATTTTTGCAAAAGAGTAATAAATCCATTAAGCCCTTTAAAAAGGACTGACCATGAACGTACATTTCCTCAAACTGTATACATACATAGAAGAATTAGGGGGAAACGGGGAGATAGAGTGACAAATGTAATAGCACTTGTAGAAATGGGAATTAACACAGCATAAATGTTTTATCTGTTAAAATACTGAGATTCATTTCTATTCCCATTCTGTCTGTCACTGGGGTCTATGTTTCAAATTTATTCTGTATTAGCTATTAAGGGACAGTACCCACTAATGAACTAGCAATAACAGTAATGGCTTATTTTTGTTCCACCCTCCCACTACCTTCACCCCAAGACAAAAAAACATGTACAATTTTGCCAACTTAAAAAAAAAAAATCAGGAAATAAAACAAACACTGACATAAGCACCAAACGCTAGTCAACAGTGGCACTGTAGTGACATTGTTTCTATTTTCTCATTCCTTCCCCCAATCTCAAACCCCACCCCCTTTGACCTCTGTATATGGGATGAGCCTGAGCAGGAGAGTTGGTGATGTCAGGACTGCGCCGTTCCCACGGATGCTTCTAGAGGCCTGCTGTGCTTCTGGGAACTGGGGCACAGGGATGTCTGTCTGACTGAAACCTAAAACAACAACAGTTCACCCCACCCCTCATGTTCCCAATCCCACAATAGCAGCCAGGTATATATGCTATATAAGGCTCACCTAGTAAGTTTGAATATGGTAAAATCTAAAAACAAGATCATTCTTAACAAGTCAGAGGTACTCAATGGGGGTGACAGGCTAGAGGACGTTAAACTCTCCATGCCTGCACAGTCCATACATTCTAATGTTTGCCATTCTTATCAGCAAGAGAACAAGGCTCTCCAGAATGAGGCTTTTGCAGTTTACACCATAAATTCTTGCAGAAGTGCAGTTGGGATTCCTTTGTTAGTGAATTCCAATTCAATAGACAAATATTTTTCTCTTAAGATGCTTATGGGAGTGACTGTCCCTACCTTATATAAATCAACTGAAACACAAAATAGGTTTTAAAGAGTTATTACGTGTCCTCCCTCGGCTATAGAAATAAGCATTACATGCCAGGACTTCCTATTCACTAACTAGTCATTTACTGGACTAACAGCTTCTTTGGACACAACATCTAAAGCCACAGGAGAAAATTATTAAGAAGTGTATCTTGAAAAGGTCCTGGCTACTTTCACTAAAATTCTACCCATTAGAAAGAGGACTATCTCCCAAAATAATGAAAACTCATGTAAGAGCTAAAACTTTAAGAAGGATAAGAGAAAGGAAGAAAGAGTAGGTGGATGGGAGTAGACAGAGGAAGGAACAGTTTATTAACTACAAGAAGGCTATTAAAATGGGACAAGTTATATTCCTATTCCTGCCATTAATTTTGTTTTATGACCTTGGTTAATCTGCTTAACTATCTTGTGCTTCAGAAATGCCCTCCTATCTTTTCAAATCTGTACTTTTTCCTTGTTCAAACCATGATTTTATGATAATCTCAAACTGCTCATGTTAGAATTAGTAACTCATAAATGCTAAAATGATTAGTTCTGAAATCACATTGCTCCTAAAATAACTAAAATTCTTCGTTATCTATGTCTTATTATTCCCTTTCACTCTTACAATGATGTCACAGAAAGAGAAGCACTAATGTCAATTGAAAGCTAAGGTCCAGTTTTTACCGTATGTATAACCTAGAACCTAATTTTACCTTTTCAACACTCTAGTTTTCCATACCTGTCAACTCCTAATTGATGTCTTTATACTGTGAGCTCACTGTGTATTCGGAACACCAACCCCTGAAAAAGCTTAAGCCAGAGTAGCACAATGGAAGAAACAAACAAACCCAAAACAAAAACAAAGCCAAAAGTCACACTCTGAATACTTAATTATAGACATATATGCAAGAAATGGAGTTATCTAAATGGCTAAACAAAACCCCAAGAAAATCCTGAGTTCATCCCAACTAATTCAGACTTTACCCCTGAAAGCTCTTCTTTAACCAAATTACATGCTAGATATATTTAAACATTATTTTTTAAAATGAAAGTTATGACAAATCCATTGTTATGTTGAGAGTACACAAAGAAAGGAAATTTTAAAAAAAGAAAGGAAGTTAGCCTAGTGATGGAAAGAAAGGAGAAAGAGTCAAATTACCTGCAAGCAGGCTGGGGCTGTGCCTGAATCCAAACCGCTGCATTTACCATTCATTATACAGCTGCATTATTGGGGGAGGGGGAGTTTAGAAGGGCACTGACCCCGGAAAGTTCTCAATACTTCTCACTCATCATCAGGAAGGGGGAAGAAGGAAAGTTTTTTCTCTGGGTATTTTTTTGTTTGTTTGTATTTGTTTTTTTGGCTCCTGAAAAGGCTGGTAAAGAACAGTAACAGTGCAAAGAGTTAGAATATTTCTTCAAAAACAATGTAAAAATGCAAAAACATTAAGGAATTTAAAAGGCCAAACTTTCGTTAATATAGAAAGAATTTCTGCTAGAGTTAGGCAGCCACCCCAAAACAGCATGGCAAAAGGGCATTGGTATAAAGGAAATAAAATACCACACAAAAATCCAAAACAAAACTAAAAACATTTCAAATTAAACCTGGAAGACTAGAAGATTCCAACAGCAGATTTCTGTCCACTACTGAAACATTCCAAAATCCAAGCTTCAAAGGTGCCTAAATCTATTTTAAATGAAACTTTGTTTTGTTTTTTTTAAGGGGGGGGAAAAAAAGAAAGAAAGAAAGAAAGCAGTGAACCTGGTTATAAATCCTGCAATATATTACATTTTTAAAAATCCTAGTACAACAAAAACAAATCTTAAATGAAATTAAACAAACAAACAAATAAAAACAGTAGCAGCAGAGGTTACCTGTCTGAGCACCTACATTTTCTTAGGAGGGGATCGTGTCTCACCAGCCAAATAGCCCATAAACCTTCTCAAAAAAAGTGAGCCAGGAGAAAAATATAACACAAGATTTGACTTCACAATGTCTCTAAGCCCCCCAATCCCCAAATTGGGGATTCATTTGTTTTTCCACTGCTTTCTTCTTGAGAAAAAGAAGAGATGATTTTGAAAGTCAATGCCTTCGATATCTTCTTAAAGTCTGATAACGTGCGTGATGAGAGCAAGTCTCTTGTTGGATTTTTCTAATGTTCCAGGGTAGTGTTCTTATTGATAGCATATACAGAAAGATTTCAAAGTTCATTGGAGAAAAGTCAGCAGAAATGACCAATCAATTATAGGCACCAAAAAAGAAAAAAAACTATTAAAAATTTTAAATAGTTCATACTTATATATGCTTAGAGAGAAAGAGAGATATATAAAGTCCCGTTTTCATCATGGGTGACAAGAAAACAATATCAGAAATAATTATTTTTAAAATACAATTTAGAATTACAATTTTAACAACATACAAAAATTTTACAATAATTCAGATTTTGCCATGATAATGATTATACATGTTTGATAAATACATTTTTACCTCTCATAATAGCAATGAAGATTATACAAAAGTTATTAAACAATTATGAAAATAAATCTAACTTTCATTTAAATATCTGATGTTTCCTTTGGGTTCTTCCAGAATGATTTGTTCTTATTCTTTGTCTTTATTTTTTGGGAAGTCAAGGAGATATCCATGTTTTTAAATCTAAGATGACCATTCCTGCCCTTTTCATTCTAACATGTAAGTGTACAATCCAGAAATAGGTTGGTAAAGCTGTTTTAATATAGTGTGAATGCACAAAACATGGATAGTGAGTAAAACTACAGGTGAACTAATTTCAAATATTTCTTATAATATAGTTGGTTGGTTTGGTATAAGTTTAAAAAAAAAAAAAAAAGGCTAGCTACATTTTTCCTGGTCCCTTACTCCACCAACACAAGCTTGGGCTTTTCATCAAATAAAGAGGTTGTTCTATCTGTGTTTTTAAATGCATTAATTTACATACGTGACATATAGCTATTCAAAGTATATGTATCATAATGTATGTGGCAACCATATGGTTTCTACATGAACGTATGAATGTTGGTTTAATTAAGCAGTTCTTTCTTGCTCATTTATTTCTCTAATCCAAATAGTATGTATCCTCCCAAGTAGTCATTCAGTGAAAGAAGTACCAAGTATTTCTTTCTGTTAATGAGTCAGAGGTACTAATATATGTAATGTGAGTCTCCCAGTTCCCCTGTGTGAGTCAAATTCTTTTATATGCAATTAGAATATCCTAAGATAAATTAGAAACTCCTCTTATATATCTTTTCCTCTGAGGTGAAATGAGACACTGCACAGATGAGAGGTACTATTCTACTGGTCAACAATCAACCTTTCACTCCATTTTAATATTATTTAATTCTATGGAAAAAAACAAATTTTATTACATTCCTTTTTAAAATGGGGAAAAACTGTACAAGTAAGCATGATCAAACCTCTGTTAGAGCTCGTTAATACTGATTTTTTTATTATTGCCTCGAAGTCTCTCTATTAGTGTCCAAGAAATTATCTTTAAGGTCCATGTGAAGGAAAATAGCACTGGAGAGGCAAGAAAGAGCTGGGGTAAAAGCTTCAGAGGATTTGTAGGGAGATGGAACTTGCTGTTTAAAAAAAATTATGTTGAGCTCTGCAGCATCTCTGTTTCTTAACATACCATCCAAACCCATCACTGGGACAGTTTTACCCATGTTGTAAAGGCTCATATTATATGCAGTTTTGGGGCTATTATAAATTCAGAAAGTAAAGGAATATAAAGAGTGGACAGTATTGAAGGCTTAGAGTAGGGCTACCAGAGACTCAATACTGCTAAATAAGTCCCCAGACAAAAATATCCAGCCCACCCCATCCCAAATCCTATGTGTAAAAAAAGAAAATGCATAGCCAAAGCATTAAAAAAAAAAAGCATGTAGCCTTGAATAAACCATACACTGAACAGTATAGAAACAAAAGAATAAAAACAAACAACATACATATGCACTAAAAGGCCTAAGAAGAATCTATTCACCTTATGTCTTTAGGTGAATATTTCTACCCAGTGGAGTCTAGTTATGACACAACAACTCATCTGCTTTTTAAAGTCAAAAACTGTTTCCCATCATGTTCCATCTTATAGAATCTATCTTTTTTGATTAGTTGATGTAAACAAAAAGCAAAACACATACACATGCACGCGTGCACACACATATATACTGCCTCGTAAAATGTGAAAAATGCAAATATATAATGCTGGCATTAGAAATCACTCCAGCTTTATACTGAAGAACTTTTAGGCCCTTGATCTGACCCCCAAAAATATTTTTCCTTGTTCTTATTCTTTAAATGCCCATCCTCCAAAAGAAAAAAGGAAAAAATAAAAGGCTTTAAATGTACGTTTCAAGTCAGTGTCATGTTAACAAAAAAAGGTAGCATTTTCTTCACTTTGGCCATTGTTAAAGATGCAGGCATGAAGCAGGGAATGTTAGACTAGCATGTATTTAAAAAAAAAAAAAAAAGCAACATTAACAGAGCATATCTTTCAAAAAAGACTAAACACTAACAAATACAAGTCAATGCACATATTTTAAACTATGTGTAATTTTATCTACATTGAGTAAATGTTATTTTGTATACCAGACATTGCAATACTGTTCATTTGCCTTTCATCATGCAAGCATGCCAATTTTGTCATTAAAAGGCCTTTATTGGATTATATTCACTTTGCACCCCCACCCAAATTAAAGGAAAAGATGACAAAACACAAAAATCAGAAATCCCAATAAAAGAGCCTCTTGAGATTTCATAAACAACTGTGAACTAAAACTGCTAGTTAATAGGGAAATGTCAGAATTTTCAGATTTGTATATATATTTGTATGATTTAGGCAGATATTTTCCTCACCCCTGACAAATCTTGCAATACAATGTGAAGTTATGCTACTTGGGATATTTGTATCATAACAATTTTTTTGGTACAAAAACAAAAGTGAGAGACCATGAAAAAATTTTTATGTTGCTCATGGCCTGAGAGCACACAAACTTTGTAGTAATTTAAAAGGGTTAACTATGAGAGCCTGACATTTTCTATATCCCACCCTCTTCTGCCTCTCTACCTGTAGGATTTATAAATGAAAGTAACATCTTACTAGCAAAGATCTCATCTATCTTCCCCTTCTCTCCAACTAATCCTACTAATTCATCTTCCTGAGCATCCTCCATGAACAGCATTGCAAGGTGGTTAAAAAAAAGAAGAAGAAAGAAAAGAAAAAGAAAGTTAAGTTTTACAGGGTTTTGTTGGTTAACTACCGGTGGAGTCACTCCACCAGGAGTTTGATCTCATTGGCTAGCAGCTGGTTCATGTTGAATAGGCCCCCTGGGAGCTTGGTGAGCAGCTCTCGCTCGGTGCTTTCAGGGTCGCTGTCGACAGAGCTGGAACTTGCGCTCATGTTGTCGACAGCAGTGCTGGCTGGGGGACCCAGCTCTGGCTCACTAGTCTCACTGGCTGTGGACACCACGGAGAGCAGGGACATACGCCGGGTGAGCCGGCCAGAGGGCAGAAGGGAGGCGGCATAGTCCGCTATGATACCAGCTACATCTAGATTACAAGCCTTATCAAAGGCGATGAAACCTACATTTGCATTGGCCTCGCAGACACAGAAGGAGCCGTCATCTTTCATCAACAGGTCAATGCCACACACATCCATCCCCAGGATATTAGACACCTGGATAGCTAGCTGTTTCCCTTGTTCACTCAATGAACACATCATCCCCACACCACCTGGGAAAAGAGAAACAAGACACAAAGTTACCAAAATGATAAACTTTTGGAGTTTAATTAAAGTTGGCCTCCAAGGCTAACCTTCTCTTCTAAATTAGTAGTGAAAACGAAGGTGTTAACCTAGTGTAAAACTATTAAATGATTTCAGCAAAACTGGAATGTGAAGCCCATAAGTAGGGATTTGCCTGTTTTGTTCACCGCTATGTACGAAATAGTGCTATAATAGTACATGACATTTAGGAGGTGCTCAAAACTATTTGTTCATTGAATGAATGACTCAAGAGGGAGTAGGAAGGGAAGTTAAAACTGTTCTAATTTTCTCATTGGAGAGAGGGACCAAGGGATGATGGGGGAAAGTGAAGGTACGCCAAAGACTTCATACTATTATGATGGCACAGTGAAGGAGTAACAAAAGAGTATCAGGGAAAATTATTATCTTCTCAAATAATAGTAAAGAATATACGTCTGACTATGAGCATAAGGAAAGAGAAGGTAACGATTAATGGAATGCAAAACTATGGCTGATCTTCTAGATTAGCTGGGTTTGGAGACAGGAGTGAAAATAGAAATAATGGCACCTTACAAACCAGCAAATATTTAAAAGGAAAAAGGAATGCTTTTAAGTTAAACAATAAGCACAAATAAGACTTTATAAAATTTATAAAGTGAAATGTATTAGTAATAACATTAAACATGGACTCAAATCTCCCATTAAAAGAGGGAAACTTGTCAGATTGGAATAAAAGACAAAAGTTACTAATATATGCTATTTATAATAAACAGTTTGAACAAAATGATAAAGAAAATTTGAAAACTAAAGGGAATGGGCAAAAAGATATGGGACAAAGGCAAAACAAACTTTACTTCATAGCCTTACATCTCTCAACTAGAGAGTGTGTGTGTGTGTATATATATATATATACACACACACACACACACACACACATATACATACACACACCCATTTTTCCCTTTGTCAAATATTAACAATGAACGATCATGCTGGCTACAAAGAAAACCTTAAATTTTAAGAGACTTTACAGGCCACATTCTCTGACAATAATCCAAGAAAATCGGAAAGTAATGGTAATAAAAGAAACTAAAAGAATATTAACTACTTCAAAATTGCAAAATTGATCCCTTGAATTAAAAATGAAATCACAAAGGAAAATGAGAACCATCTGTAAAGAAAAGATAAAAATGCTTCATATCAAAACAGTCTCTAACATTGTGAAAGTTCCCCAGAGGAAAATGTTTAACATGAAATGTTTTTATTTTGAAGTAAGAAATTAGATGTTCTTTGCAAAAGAAGCTAGAGAGATTTAATAAAAACAAAAAGTGAAATGAATAATTAGAAATTAAAAAAAACCCAAAAGCTAGTCTGTTAAGATTAAGAATGATAATAAAGACAGGCTCGGAAAGGAGATAAAAAGCAGCACGAAAATATCTCATGACTGCTTTTGGCAAAAAATGTGTTACTTATAACAAATGGATGATTTCCAAGCAAATGATAAATTTCCAAAACTGACCCAAGAAGACATGGCAAACTTTAACAGGCCAATTATCACAGGATTGGGAAAGTGATAAAAGAGCTACTGCAAAAGGAACCAGTACCAGATGGGCTCACAGCTCAGTTTTATTTAGCTATCCTTTATTCCAATGTGATTTTACCAATATAGATTGCTCTAGGAAAAGACTACAAGTTTGCCAATACATTAAATAAAACCGGCATAAACTTAATATCAAATGTGATCAAGGAGTTTTAAAAAATATATATTATGGGCTAGCTAAGAGCTGTGGCTCATGCCTGTAATCCCAGCACTTTGGGAGGCCAAGGTGGGAGGATTGCTTGAAGCCAGGAGTTCTAGACCAGTCTGGTCCACAGTGACACCTCATCTCTACAAAAAATTTTTAAAGATTAGCTGGAAGTGGTGGTGTGCCTGTAGTCCCAGCTACTCGGGAGGCTGAAGTGGAAGGATTGCTTGAGTCCAGATGTTTGAGGTGGCAGTCAACTATGGTAACACCACTGTATTTTAGCCCTGGCAGCAGAGAGAGACACTGTTCTCCCCATCTCCTCCCTCCACAAAAAACACGAGCCGATCTCATTTATAAAAAGATAGACGAAAGTACTCCAAATAAAATATGAAAAAACTGAATTCAGTCACAATAAACTATCACCAATCCAAAACTATTATTCCAAAGATGCAAGGGTAGCTTACGAAATTTTTTTAATCTAAAATGTATCAACATAATCCATTACATCAAGAAATTAAAAGTGAAAATCACACGGAAATTATCTTAACAGGAGGCCAAAATGGCATTGGAAAAATTCGACAATCATCCTAAAAACCCTAGTAAAAATCTCTTTAAATAAAATATTCTCAATAGCAAAATATTAAATCTATTTCCATGGAAATCAGAAACCAGAGATCACTGCAACAATTAAGACTTAACATCGCATTAGAGGTTCTAAAGCAGTGGTTCATTCTCAACTGAGGAGAATTTGGAAATTGTATGGTGACATTTCTGGTTGTTTAATTGAGATTTGGAGGGGAATCTAATGCCATTTAGTGGTTATTGGTCCAAAATGGTAAACAAAAAAGACAAACTACCCAAAGTGAACAAATATAATGAAAAACAATACATATACAAGGTAAATAAAAATGACCAATAAACTATAGCAGCACTGGTGGGAAAAGAGGGAGAAGGGTATTTTAATACACTGAAAGTTGAAATGCATAACGTTCCTTTTTGGAAAATATTCTGGTCTCATATCTATTAAAACCAAAATTACATATATTTTGATCCAGTAATACCTACACTGAGACTCATCAAGACAAAAGCACCAGTATGCAAAAAAAAAGTATATTCACAAGAATATTTATAGGATTACTGCTCATAATAGTAAAAGCTGAAAATAAATTGCAAATCAATAAGGGCATGGATGTATATGGTAGGTGAAAGGAGAGCAGGAGAGGTTAAGAAGAATTGCATTTAAATAACATTATAAGACTATATAGTATAAAGTTACTTTTTTAAAGTTACCAAAAATAATCACAGAAATATCAAGGCAATACAGTCATCCCTTGGTATCCACAGAGTATCTGTTCCATTACCCTCCACGGATACCAAAATCCATGGATGCTCAAGTCCTTTAGATAAAATGGTATTTTTTTATGTATAGTATTTGTATATAACCTATAAAGATCCAGCCATATACTTGAAATCATCTTTAGATTACTTATAATACCTAATACAATATAAATGCTACAAGAATAGTTGCTATACTGTATTGTTTAGGGAATAATGGCAAAGAAAAAAGACTGTACATGTTCACTACCAATGTAACTACCCATTTTCTTTTCCCTGAATATTTCTGATCCATGGTTGGTTGAATCTACAAATGCAGAACCCATGGATATGGAGGGCTGACTGTATTTGCAAAAAATAGATTTCCTGGGATAACCACAGTTGTCTAACATGTAGTTGGATATCTGTCAGGTGTCTGTGTATATAATTTCACATAACTAAGATCATATTATTGTTAATAAACAGAGGAGAATGAGACACAGAGTGTAACAGTTTAAAAAGGTTAAATTCATGACATTCATTTGAAAATCTAGATGGTGTCTGCACAGCTTCCATGTAAATCTTTCCAATTTTGGAGTATTCAAGAAGTAGCAAAATGGGGTAGTTAAACAGGTCAAAACTGGAGCTAAATAGTCTAGACTTGCATTCTGGTTATACCATTTATGACATCTATTACCTTAAGCAAGTTACTTAACTGTTCTGTGTCTTGGTTTCCTCACATGTTGAAGTAAGAGTAACTATCTACTCTACAGAGAGACTGTGTGGATGAAAGAATACACAGAAAGCATTTAATACAGTACCAGCATGAAAGAGATGTTAACTGCTATTCTCGTTAATAACGAATATGGGAGAATACACATCAGTTTAAAAAAAAAGGCTCCCTAAAACAGGGTAAAGAGGGCATTCAATTCTGAGGAACAAGAGAGAGGGGCTCTTGCTCTATCAGATATGCAGGCATAATGCCAGAAGAATGAAGACTGATTTTCATATAGAAAAAGATCGATACAACAGACTAGATGACCCCAATACAGACCAATGCATATATGGAAATTCAATATATTACAAACCAGTGATAAACAGACTATTCAATGAGTAGTGCTGGCACAATCAGTTACTCATTTCGACAAAAGAAAACAGGATCTCTATCATCACATTAAACAACAAAATCAATTTTAGGAAGGCAGTTACTTGTAAGAGCCTGGAGTTCACGGAGGAAGCCTAAATCGGAGCTAGAAATTTGAAAATAATAAGTGCGTAAATGGTATTGCTGACAAGATTACTAAGACACTGATATAAACAGAGAAAGAAAACACTCAAAGACTAAGTTCTGATGTACTTCATCAGTTAAGAGAGCTGAGAAAAATACATATTTAAGTAAATCAAAATCAGCAATCTTGTTTGGACCAATGGCTAAAATAGGTAAAGATGCAGCTTAACAAATCTCAGTTATACACAAAATAAGTATATCACCAAAGAAGGACTCTCTAACTCTAATCAGACATCTTGTATATGTGTGAATCTGTTACAATGTGTTACAAATTGAGCCTGGGTGAAGCAAATTTATTATGATTCAGTGAACTCTAATTCCATTATTAGAAAAACTCAGAACTATATTTATTACATTGATGGTATGTCTATAAATCATATTTACACAAGAAAAAGATAATACGTTTTTCAACTTGCATGTATGAATGCTCACTGGACAAGTAATAATACTACATGTCAGTAAACGTCTGCATTGTTTTTACCTAGTGAGCAGTTGCTTTGCATCCTCCCATCTGTTGAACAACGTAACATGGTGCCAACCACACGGCCTCCCACAACAATGACACGTACATCCCGTCCATGAGACTCTTTAATATACTTCTGGAACAGGTAAGGAGCTTCATGGCGAATAAGATGGCTTAGATCAGCCAAATGGTGCTTATCTCGGGCTAAGAAAACAGCTTTGCCTGTGATTGGAAAAAAAAAAAAAAGAAAACTGTGGGTAGCTAATATCTACTACCTGAATCTTCCTGTGTCTCAATTTCCTCTTTTAGAACCATTTATACTTTATTTCTTTTAAGTTTTCCTTGTTTTAACCAAAGTAATTTAAACATGGTAATTAGTGAGATAATGCAAAAATGTATAAAGACAAGGTTAATAATTTCTTTATACCACTCCCCCAAATCTCCAAACTTTTAACAGTAAACTAGAATTTATTTTGGTATATGTTGTGAAGTAGAGGTCTAGAGTCATACTCCTCCAGGTTAGCCAAGAATGCCATCCTCATTTGTTAGCAAAACTTTTACTCTCTGAATTAAAGCATAGGTGTTACATATTATTATATCTATTGTAGTAAATGAGTATACTGTATTTGTTTATAGTAATATAGCAGCATGTTATTATACACTTTGATTTATTTCTGAATTCTCTAGCCTGTTCTACGGCTCTGTTTGTCTATTTTTGTGTCAATGGAAGTGGCTGTTTTTATTATGTAGTCATAAATGCCTCCTGTACAGGAAAGGGGGAGAAGGAAAGGGATGGAATCTGTTGCTTCCGACTGAATCTAGAAGGGCTTGTGGTTGCTCTGGCCAACAGAATATAGCAGAAGCAATTCTATATGACTTCGGAGGGCAGGTCATAAAAGGTCATGCAGCTTCTTTGTTCATTATAGCATCCACTGTAGGAGGCCTGAGACTCCTGTCTGCAATAATGGAAAAGCCAAATATAAAGAATCCAGTCAACAGTCCCAGCTGAACTCTGATCCAGCCATCCCCTCAAGGCACTAAACATGTGTTGCACTTGGATTTATGTATCATTTTATGACTTGAAAATTCTTTCTTAATCCAAAGTCATTAAGATATTTCCATATACTATCTTATAAAGTTTTATAGTTTTGCCTTATACATTTAAGTCTTCAGAATACATAAATCGAGAGGGGGATGACTGGAGTTACTGACCTAAAGTCCTCGTATTGTTGATGAGGAAGATAGAGACATTAACTTGAGTCTAAGTTAGGTATGCGTGTTAAAATTTCTAAGATAACCAGTAAACATAAATAGCTTCTAGCCAAACTGAACAACTCATAGTAGTCTTCTGTAACTTAGAGGTATCATGCACCTAACACTTTCCCTCTAATTTTTCTTCAGAAGCCCTGTTTCAAAATCACCAATATTAACTCACAAGAGCAATTTCAAAATCATATACCACAGCAGGAACTCATACACACCTCTATGACCCCGTGTATTCTTCACTACCATTGGGAACTCCAGTACTTCTGCTTCATCTATCATTTTAGCAAAATTTTCGTGGCCACCTGGTTTGAGCAAAAAAACAAATTTAAGAAGAACAGCAAGACAAGTGTTCTATGATCAGTTTTATTTACACTGAAGACAACGGCACAAGGCAGGTGGAAGGTAAGAGCCTGATGGCTACCTTCTGTTTTTCTTGGAAAAATAAATAAAATTTTGAAAGTATAATTGAATTATTATTTAATAACAATCACACCTTTTAAAATGAATAATGGCTATCAAACTATACATATTCTGATATCCAACTTAAAGAAGAAATCTTTCAGCTAAACTGAGTTTCCTAATTCTATACCATTTCATATTTTTCTCCCTTATTCCTTTACCACACAAATAATAAAAGCCCCAAGATTTACTTTAATACATCCACTTCCCTGGTTGGATTAAGAAATTGAAGAATGAGTTGGTTAAGAAGACTTGTCCAAGATTGAAGAGATGCTGCACACACATATATACCCTCTTTATTATGAAACACATATCAATATTTCTTATCTTCATTGTTAATCAGAGTTCTTCCTACATTGAGGTAACTTACTATCCATGGGTTGAACCTTGCTTCTCACTATTTTTATTGCCCAGGAACAAATGATACAATAGCAAGATTAGGGTAAAAATAGATTGTAGCTATAAAAATCTGCATGATGCTAGAGAAAAATTAAATCAGGAGAAAGTTAAGAACTGCAGTACGAGTAATTTGTAGCTTGGCAAAATTATGACAATTTAGTCACCAAATCTTAATCCATCATTAGAACAAAGGTAATATTTGCTAACTTGGTTTAACCTTTTTCCTTTCCATTCCCATAAAATCAAAATTGTAGAACCATGATCTAAGCTATAATATCCCAAAAGCATTAGAAAGACAAAATTCAAGTTTAATTCATTAATTCTGTCTTTTCTCGTTCAATTGCTAAAAGTAGCAAATGCATTCACACATGCTACAAAGGCTTGGAGGGCTCCCTTCTTTAAAATATGTACACTAAGAAGAGAACAGGGGTTTCTTTTTAAAGCCTCATTAAATCTCCAAGCATTCTATTGAACATTTACTTGGAGAAATACCTTTATGGAAAACTGCACTGCTTTATAGTAAGTCTGATCTTTTCCAGACCAGAAGAACTGGAAGAGCGGGAAATACATTAACATAACATTGTTTAGAGCAGTGGTACTCAAAGTGTGGTCCTGTAACCTGTGCCTGTTTGTGACTTGTTTGCTATTGATATGTGGTTAATATAAGAGCAAGCACTAGAAGCTTTTACAGCCATCTGGCATTGCTATGATATTTCCATTGTATTTACATGAGTATTAATCCACAGCAGACTGACCTTTTTAAAAAAATGATCCTTCACCAGATAGTTTTAGAAGTATTGCTTTATACATAGAAAAGTAACATTTTCTTAAAATAATGAAATTATTTATGAGGTGTTATCAAGAAAATAATGAAAACAATGAGAAATTAAACAGAGATGTCAAATTCTATTATCTTTTACCTCAGAAGCTGGCAAACTGAGGCCTGCCTGTGGGCCAAATTTGGCCTAGTGCCTGTTTTTAATAAATAAAGTTTTATTGGAACAGAACCACATTCATTTGTTTAAGCACTGTCTACAGCAGCTTTCCCACTACAACAGCATTACTAAGATCACCACAGAGAACTTTAGGCCTGTAAAGCCTAAAATATTTACGATCTGGTCCTTTACAGTGCAAGTTTGCTAACCCCATTCTACCCCATTTTGTGGAACTAATCTTAAGACATGATTCACAATTTTCCTGCCCAGTTTGTTAAAACTGAAAGTCACTTCTATAAGAAGTTCTTTCATGTTTACAAATTTAGCCTATTGGTTTAGTATGGCTTTCAAAACTATCAGTGCTCTAATATTTAGGCTACACATTCTCATTAGTGATCTCACCATAAGAGAAAGTATCTGGCAGAGGAACGCCATGGCCAGCCAACTCTTGAAATGTCCAGAACTTATTAACACAGTTCAGAATGGCTTGAGGTCGATTCATCAACCGGCATCCCATCTTCTCTAGATGGCGCAAAACAGTGATGTCACTATCACTTTGCACCCAAGGGGTTGGTACTCTCACTACCACCACTTGGGGGTAGGCAGTGATCAGTTCTCCGTTGATCCGTAGACCTAAAGTATATAGAAATAAAATCAAAACCAACAGAAGGGAATACACATTAGAGGAACACTAAATGCCAAAGCTTGGATCACAAAACTAAATGCATTATTTTGTTAGTACTGGATTGGGAGAGAGATTTCTCCACAAGAAAAAAGAAAATTTAACTAGAAAAATCACTGCACTGGTTAAATAAATTATGGTACATGCAACTATAATGAATTACTATACAGCCATTAAAAAGAATGTCATAGGCCAGACACAATGAGTCACGCCTGCAATCCCAGCACTTTGGTAGGCCAAGGCAGGAGGATCACTTCTGAGACCAGCCTGGGCAATCCAGCAAGACTCAGTCTCTACAACGAATAAAAAATTAGATGGGTGTGGTATTATGCATCTGTAGTCCTAGCTATTTGGGAGGCTGAGACAGAGGACTGCTTGAGCCCAGGAGTTCAAGGTTGTAGTGAACTATGTTTATGCCACTGCACTCTAGCCTGGGCAACAGAGTGGAACCTTGCCTTTAAAAATAATAATAAATGCCTAGATACATATGTTGTTTTTTTTTTATTTAAAGGGCAACTCTGAGAATAAGTTTTATTTGTCTTTATATATGCATACAAAATAGGTGAAGGGATAAATGATATAACTGGCTTCCTCTGAGTGTAAGTGGGTGGCAAGGCAGGAAGAGGAAGGCAAGAGAGAGAACTTCAGCACTGTGCTCCATGCAGTCTCTATGTACAATATATTTTGTATGCTCTTTTTTTTTTCTAAAGTGAGGATCATATGCCTCTATAACAAAATAAGAAAAATTTTAAGTTTCTTAAACTTTTATCCAATACCGTTCTACTTAGGGAGGCCCCAAATAAATAAAGAAACAAAGTATTTATGAGTTATTCCTTAAAACCTATTTTCATTTAAAAATTATATATATACAGTTGTCCCCCCACCCCTCTTATTTGCAGGGATACGTTAAGACCCTGAGCAGATGCCAGAAACCACTGATAGTACCGAACCCAACATACACTGTTTTTTCCTATATATACACACCTAAATAAAGTTTAATATATAAATTAGGCACAGAAATCAATAGCAATAACTAATAGTAAAACAGAACAGTTATAATACACTGTAATAAAAAATTATGTGAATGTGGTCTCGTGTTCTCTCAAAATATCTTATTGTACTGTACTGTCAGTAACTGAAACTACAGAAAGTGAAACTGCAGATAAAGGGGGGACTGCTATACTTGTTCAAAACATTCGAATACAAAAATACAGAACAAGGCCAGGTGCGGTGGCTCACGCCTATAATCC